CTGTGGTATCTTTTGTTTCAAAACAAACTCACCAGGACATACCGTTTCGAAATAAGAATGGAAATTACCATTCTTAATTGACAATACGTCGTCGATATTTCTAAATGTCGAGTTGAAGGCCACAGCAAGTGTTTTTTTCTTTTCACGCATAAGATTTTGGACAATTTCTGCTTCATATGAATACGAAAATAGGTCTGCTAATAACGGGGTGCAGTTTGTACCCATGGGAACTTCCAATAGATTGTTGGAAGACCTGACCTCCAAAAACAACATTAGATATTGTCAATCAGAAACTCAAGCATCTTTTTTATGTCAACTTCAGAGTAGTTGTGTGTACAATCAGAATGTATTTCACAAAATAATTTTGCAAATGACCAATGACAAGGTAAGTAAATTGACGAGTTCCATTTTTATTGAAAAAGCAGCTGTCAATGATATCAAAAAGCCTGGACTTTAATTTATCGTATACAGAGTTGAAAAGTCGTAGGTTTTGAAGCTGTTGATTTTGGTAAAATCTTGTGATTTCAAATTTTCCAAAAGTTCCTTGGAATTTTTAAGTATCTACATCTGATTTACCTCCCTTCTTGAATATATTGTTGCTTAATACTCTTGATCTAGATTACTGGAAAGTACATGTATAACAATAAAGAAATCTCAAAAGTCAAAGATCGTGATTTACTTTATAACTTGACCGTTGATTATGATTTATCATAATAATCTATTTATTTATATCATCAGTTGTTGCTAACCAGTCATTACAATTACACTGACCAGGGCCTCGTACTAGTGAAAAGAGTATCTGTTAAGTTTAATTGTTTCCCCCCAAAAAATATCTTATTATTTGACCTGGGTTTTTTTTTTATTTATGACACATTGCAATGTTGTTTCCTTACGATGTTATTTTTGGATTTCATTGAATAAATAATGGGATCTCATTATGTTGTTGTTTATTAAAAAATAATCTAACCTTGTCTTGTTTTTGTGCACATAACTTTCATAACTTTGTGCTGTTTACATCATCTTTAAAAATGCCTACGTGTGTTTTCTCACGCAATCGATTTGTAAACATGGTATGAATGAATGTTTATTTATAGCCTCCGCGGAAAAAACAATGTGACCCAGATCGTATCGTCTGCTCATAGTAGCATGTTTTTCCAAATTCAATGAACCCCCTTTTGACCCATGATATAAGGTTAAGTTTAACTAGGACAATTGCGATAACTAATTTAAATGCTTTGAAATTTGTTCAATATCTGCCATTAGTATAATGTAATGATAGAATTTTATTTCTTAATTTTCCAAAAATATATCTGACAACTTCATATCATTTTAAAGAAAATTCATCTTTTAAGAAAGCGGAAACAAGGATTAAATTTCATTTTGTAATTCCATTTTCATTATTATGACTTTTTGAAGTTTTTTCATAGAGATCCCGATGAAAGCTTCATACCTCTTTATGAGAAGAAAAACACCCTTATTGTAGATTTCAGCTTGACATAAGATAAATCGACGACGAGTATTATGAAAATAGTATGTGCATTCAATATATCACGGTGAAGTTAAAGTTACCACAGAGTCTGACACGTCTAGATCTGTTTCATATGATATTTTCTAGAAAAAGAACTTATCGGTAACCTAGGAACAAAACTTTATGATAAACGTGATGACATCTTTTTTTTAACTGTCAACTTTCCATACTTATATAGCAATAGACCCTTAATTATCACCTGCTGCATACGGGGTTTGTCTCCCAGTTGATTCGAGTTGTAAGAACATGCTTTATGTATACGAACAATCTTTTAGCTCACCTGAGCTGAAAGCTCAAATGAGCCGTTGCCCGTCCGTCTGTCTGTCTGTAATTTCGTCCGTCACACTTTTCACATTTTCAACTTCTCAATTGAGCCAATTTAAACCAAAGTTGGAACAGCATCCTCGGGTGAAGGGGAGTTTAAATTATTCAGATGAAGGGCTTGGTGAATATTGTACTCCTCACATGGCTAAATCATCATATTGACCTCAAAATAGTAATAAATGTATTTTATTTACAGATGAATAGGAAAGGGGAAAACGTAAGAAAAAGTAGGATTAACAAGAAGGAATATTATAGTTAATATTATAATAATGGTACTTATTCAGAAAAAATGTTTACACAAAAGAAAACAAAACGCTTACTACAAACAATTTATGCATACGACATTCAAATCCATGAAGTCGTGTTTTAATACTGGACAGAAACGCGATATATGGAAATCTTTTATTTTGAACTACTGGGTGTTTTTGGATTGATTTAAAATCGCACGATTTTCTGGTAGTGGAAGATTAGGATCAACAAATAGATAATAAAATTTGTTTTTAAAATGTAATTAGGGTTTTTTTAAAAAATGTAATTATAGGGGGAGTGAATCCTTTTCTTCAGTTTTCAAAATAAGAACAATGCACAAGAAAGTTTTCTAAGGTTTCAACCTCGCCACAGTTATACATACATACATTATTTGTTTGTCTACATAAATGACTTGAAAAAAAATTATAGAGTAGAAATTATGGCAAGCCCTTTTACTATTTATTCGGAAAATAAAATCTATCTTAAAATTACAGAGATATCTCTCATTTTAGGGAGATATCTCTTAAAAAATAGAGATATCTCTCAACTTAAAGAGATATCTCTCATTTTTAAGAGATATCTCTATGAGAAAGAGATATCTCTTAAACTTGGAGAGATATCTCTTATACTTAGAGAGATATCTCTTCCACTTGTAAAGATATCTCTTTCTCCTTTCGAGATATCTCTTACGTGAAAAGAGATATCTCTAAACGTTAAAGAGATATCTCTTTCACCTAAAAGGATATCTCTTTTACTTTTGGAGATATCTTTCCAATTAAGTTAAAGAGATATCTCTTTAAGTAAAAGAGATGTCTTTCTCAGTTTATCTTAAGAGATATCTCTTAAAGTGAAAGAGATATCTTTTAAACGTGTCTAAAAGAGATATCTCTCAAGCAAAAAGAGATATCTCTCTTCATGTTTTTTTTTTATTTAAATTCCATTTCAAATGACTTCTCCCTTACCGGAAGTAAGCTTTTTATTGACGGAAATACTCAAATTAGAAATAGTTGATTATTTCATAAGCTGAGAAAATTCGGTCCATTGCATTTGAGATTATATATATGCTTACTTTCGTTTTCCTGAATATTAAACTTTTAGCATTTTTATCAACGAAGTTACCATTATTATTTTTTGTTTCAAGTAAAGGATTTATAGCATTTTTGTCTTCAGTACATGTATTATTCTGGGTAATTGCCAATGAGATATCTCTTTTGTTTAAAGAGATATCTCTCTAAGGTATAAAGATCTCTTTTAGTCAAAGAGATATCTCTATATGCTATAGAGAGATATCTCTCTTGTTGAGAGAAAATTTTTATTTCACGAATAAATAGTAAAAGGGCTTGCCATAAGAAATAGTAGGTAAATTATATATAATAAATAATAGAATAAAATAGAATTTATTACCAAATCAGGGCCCATTGGGCATAAACATGTAATATATTATATAATTACAGATAAACATGATAAAGTAATAGACAGAATACAACATATATGATATTAAAGAGAAATTCTTCCATTAAGTATATACATTGGTGGTATACATTTTTAAGTTTCATATGTAGACATGCATGATGGGTTGTTGTGCAAACATGTGCATTATTATTATTAATTATATACATAATATCTAAACACATAAAACTATGTTTGATGCATCAACAAGAGGCAGCAAGAGTCCGTGCTAGAGGATATACAGAGCTCCACTTCTGCCTTATATATAATAAACAGACATAAAATATATGGACGATAAGTATATTCTATGAATTATATATGAAAATTGGAATTGGCATGAAGAATCGCGGGTTCTTAAAGTAGTTCTTCTTGATTCAAACCTTTTAAAGATATTTTAGCAAAAACTGAAAAACGGAATTAAAAAAAAAAAAGAAAAAATATAACTATATTATCATGGCTGTTACAGATAAATATGTTCTTTATTTTCAAATTAGCCTGGGCCCTTTCAGGAATCACAAACAACATGCATGATTTATACAATTACAAAACAGCACAGACAAAATATATGAGATTATATGTATGTTTTGAAATCAATAGTTAGTACTTTTGCATCGCCACGTGTTATCTTTAAAGTTTTGCAATGTGGGGGATGTAGAAATAGAATCAATCTCCCCATTTGCATTAGGCAGAACTTATACATGTTAATTTAGACGAATAACATATTTTCATCAGATTTAGTTTAAAAGAAAAAAAATATCCAGAACAAATAAGACCTTGGAAAAATATTTAAGAAGAAAAACACATTCTTAATAAACACAAATAACACATACCATACGCAACCGGCATATGTCAACATGCACAAGTTTTACGGGAAGCCGTCGGTGACTTCTTTCTCTTTTCAGACTTTTGTCTCGCTTCACTTTTATCCTACACTCATCAGAGGATTTACAGAAACAGAAGTAGTATTGAAATCCATGATATTCTCTATTTTATGAATGGATAATTCATCAAAAAAGTCAAATTATAGCCTTTTACTACGTGTTTTACCATATCTACAATTTTTCCATTTCAAATCGCAGTACTAGCTCTCCGTACAATGTTTACCAATAAACCAGAGGAGTCTCGAATGGTCTAGAACGTAAACACAGTTTAACATTTTACCAATGTGTTGAGGAAATGATGGTTGTATTAAATTTGATCCTCAATTATGCTGATGTCGACTTAAGCAACGGTTGCAGTTATAACACTTTCTTGATATTGTTAGGATATTCAGGCGAATTTTATTCTCCCGATGTAAGTGTTAGGTAAATGTTTTGTAATAACTATAATGTCATCGACCTTTCATAAAGCCGGTAGACATGATTTATCTATTATGTGAACGATTTTTGAATGAAAACATAACAAGTAATTGCAAATTTTGTATCTAAACAATCTAATTATGTAATTTCAGATCTTAGCAACATATGCGTGCAGTCGGCGCGTGAGAAGTGCATTTTATTATGTACAACAACCTGACAGATCCAGAGGCATCCATAGGGGCGTTCTTTTTGCCAAGAAATCTGTCTTACACAGAATCAAGTTATCTGGATTGTTACAGTGTTAGTAGCAATTTTGTGTACAACCCAAGAGTCGATAGAGAACTGTACTTCAATGCAGAAGTTGAAGCTGCAAAACATGTCTTAGAGCGTTGTTCTAAATTACTGCGTCTATCGGTGAGCATGAATGCTGAAGAAGATATTGATTTCGTTCCGAACGGCAGTGATAATGTCAATGAACTCATTGTGAACCAAAAATCAGATCTTGATGACGATGCTTTACTTTTTGCGAAAGATATGGATGATTTGAATTCTGTAGGATCTTCTACGGGAAAATCAAGTGTCAGCGATGATGCTAATGACGATGCCTACAGTCCTGAATCGAATGACCTTGCAGGGACATCTCAAGGATGTGGGGGCTCGTTAGAGGATGCTGTCGCGGAAGCTATGCAGGTAAAAATGCATTCAGATAGGCTTAAAAAATGCTCGCCACCTCCTTTTGTTTTTACGGATATGTCATTTACTCCATCATCGGACGACGATGACGCGGAGGCGGATGTCGCTGAGAACAAAACGGAAAGCTCATTGAAAAAAGACAAGTCATTCGGATCCCAGAAATCACTGTATGAAGAAAATGAGTTTAACATTGATAAAGCGGAGCTTAGAAAATCTTCGTCACTGAAGGCAAAAAAGACTCCGCCGGGCACGCCCAGTCGTAAGAAGATGGTCCGCTTTGCTGATGCTCTGGGTTTGGACCTAGAGGACGTTCGTCACGTGTTAAATGCCGAAAATCCACCAAAAATACCGGCATCAGCAATGGCCGATCTAAAGGTCGGTGTTGAAACTGAGAGAAAGGATTTTGGAAAGAGATTTCTACATGCTTGTTTCCAGCAACCTGGTGCTTCAGAAAACTTTTTACAAAAGGTTCTGGCACAGAAAGTTTGTTTAGAAAACGCAATCGTCACAGACCTGACGATAACGGGGGTAGTGAGAGTAGCCAATATTGGCTTTCACAAGGTTGTACGGGTAAGATACACATACAATGCCTGGGTATCATATCATGATATCATGGCATCTTACGTTCAGAATTCTTGTGACGGTCCTACAGACAGATTTTCATTCAGCATATGCGCACCTGCCGATTTAGGTGTAAGTTCCAAACTTGAATTTGCTCTCTCCTACACTGTCGGCGATATAGTATACTGGGATAATAATGAAGGAAACAATTATGTTTTTGAATGTTTTGCAAAAACAACACCAACTGAATCTAGAGATTCGTGGTTGCATTTCCTTTAGTAGCATTTAATGCTGTTATTTAGAAATCATTGTTAGTTATCGAGAGGATTCCTGATTACTATTTAATAATTTTTTTTTCTGGATTCGACCTTTTTAAAAAATGGCATACCAAACGAGAGTTTCTACACTGATACATTTTTCACATTATTTGATGCTAGTGCTGGTATATCAAACGGTCATGTTTGAAAATCCTTAGACCCCTATCATTGTATGATTCAGTGATAGCGTATTGATTAACATAGTATAATATTCAAAGTCATGCATAGCCTAATTATAGTTTTGGGAATCCTTTCTACACTCTTGTATAATAGAAAGTCTGTAGTGCTGGATATTTGAAATCGTACATTTTTTTTTCCATTCCCGGTGTGTTTTAAAAACATACACAATAATTGCATGGTGCATTATTTATGTGTTGTAGCATATACATATATCTAATATATTTATGTGTAAAGGAAAATATTTTTTTTTTCAAATTTATTTATACCGTCACATGACCTCCAGGTTTCGATATAACGCCATTAAGGGTAACGACAATAAGTTGAATCTCCTGTAGTTTAAGGAACGGGCATTACGCATTATCAGGTAGATATGACGAAATATCATTGAAGCGTGCCGTTGACCCTGCTATTGGGAACTGCACTTCCTCATGATTGTGCAGTTTGTGCCAGCTGTCATATCGAATGTGCTCTAAGGAGCATTATTTCGTCTGTTAATCGGTTGTCTTGTAGCGGCAGCTTTTCACCCGAAGCTCCAATATCATGGACATTTTATGATTGCAGTGAGAAATGCATATAGTGGTCAATATACCTAAGTGGTGGTCGTCGCCTTAGATATTTGAGAGGAAAGTCACGTATACCCGTGTCTTTTATTGCTGATTTGGGGATAACCTGAACCGAATAGTTTCGTGCAAATGCATTTAAATCCCTTTATTTGGCAGTCATTCATAAAATCTGGCTTTGAATTTGATTTATAGTGCAATCTCTCACTCAAAAACATGCCAATTTCAGAGGTAATTCTATTGTCAAGGTTAACTTTTGTACAACGTAAACAACATTTTTGTAGACATCTTTGTCCTGATACTGGGGCAAACGCCGCAAGTCGTAACCGTTATAATAGATGCAAAAACAGAGAGACAATCCGAAGAGAGTTTTTTTGGCACCTAAAATCAAAGCATAGCATAATAGTATTACGGTGTCAAACTTTTATGCAATAAACTAATATTTTCCCTTTATCTGAGTACATAATATGACAATAATTGATATAGTATAACTATATAAATCTCTATGTATGTGCAGCTGTAATATTTTATGCAATAATTTTGTTGTCTTAGTTATGCTACAAGCTAATTTTGTTGAGAAGTATCATTGTCGTTATGAATCCATCGCTTTTAAATTTGTTGTATTGCTTTAAGCTGAATTATTTCGAGAAGTATTATTGCCTTTATAAATTCATGTATTTTCCTCTCTTCAAATCAAACTTGGATGTAATAATACTTTCAGCATAATCTGTACATTGTTTGACTGGAGGAACGGTCGATGAAGAGTAACACCCCTTGCGGTTTCGGTTTTTCCGGATATACAAGGGATGATATCTAATATGTTGTTATATTTTAAGTCTTTTTATTTTCTTAAATTGTGTATTGAAAGTTAGATACATATATTCTCTTTTTTTGTTAATGGTTAAATAATTATTCTAATCGTTATCTCACGACGCCATTAGTATGGATTGAGATAAAGTTGTTCTGTTTTAATAATCGTGATATTGTACATGTATTATCATTTGTTGCGTTTGATCATGCTGAAATGCATTAAAAATGATCTCTTTGTTTCTGTTTTACCTTATTTTATCTTACAGAGCTGTGGTTAGAATGTGTTGGAAATTTCATGTTTCCATTCAAAAGATGTGCAGCTTTTTATAAAATGTGTCTGACACCAGTAATAAGCCCGATCCGGCTGTAATTATTAGACACACTATTGTACGAGTACAGATGTACGCTGACCATGAGCTGTCCACGCAGAGATCACACACGTATCCATACATACTTTGTTCTCGTAAACCTGGGAGCTTGAAGATCGTTAGCAGGACGAATAGTCGCTGCTGTCTGAAAAAAAACTTATTACCTTTTTATTGGTAATCACTTATACAAGTAGTTAAAGGTACTGGGTATTCAACAATGTAAATAGGGGATGAGGATCGCATCTTTTTATTTTGAAATTAGGGTTTTATATATGTATTTGAATTTATTTTAAACTACATTGAAGGAAACCTTTAGAAAAAAGTATGAAGAAACTAAACGGTCATTAATTTTGTCAAGTCGGTTAATCGAAAGAAATCTTGATGGGTCATTTATGACCAATATCCTTTTAGAATCATACTAATTTCCGGATAAATGTTGTCCGCAATTGCACTCTAAAATCGGAAGCAGAAATCTGTTTCCATAGTAACGTTACGAGGGATTTTAAAAGCCTTTTTGACAAATAATCACAAGTCGAATCCGATCCACTGTCACAGAATTCTGATGTTGAATAATGATTAAAGACCATGTAAGAATCTTTATGTAACAGAGAATAGCTGAATTATAGCACATGTTAATGTATATAATTATGTAGATAGGGTGCATAGATATTATCTAATAAAGTTATTGTAAGTTAAGAACGTTACATGAACTAGTTTTTTTGAACGTTTTCTTTTAAGTGTCAGCAGTATGGTTTTGTGTAGTAGCAGAACTGTACCTCTCTATGCCAGGAAATTCGAACAGACCAGTTCCTCCATATAAAGCCAAGATTAAAAAACAACTTTGCTTTCAGTTGCCTACCTATGTCTCATAAAGTGGGTAGGTAGACAGCTATTGATTTATTTTTTTCTAATCAATTTTAGTTTTAAGGTTTTTGTTTTTATTTTCAAAAAAAAAAAAAAAATACTAAAATGAAAATAGCTCCACTTATATTAAGCCACTGTATACTGACAATAACAAGAAACCAGAATAGAAAAGGAAACAGCTAGGTTCAATATCATTAAAACGTAAAAACACACCCAAAGAATTATTTTTAAAAAATGGTTTTTCAGTTTGGGTCTGATGCATATTTAGTGGGTAGGCAGGCAACTGCAAACAAATATATTCTTATTTTGGGCCTAAAAAAGAATTTATGACAATACTCTTTCTTGAACGCTTTGGGTATTATTTTCCACATTATATGCATCCCCGTGTGTTTTCTTTGAAAGCTAAGACGACTGCATAATAACCATATATATTTCAGTAGATTCTTTTCTTTGTAGGATAGCATCAAGGCTGGGATAACACTAAAATGTTTTTATTTTTATAATAAAAGTTCAACCTAAGTTATACGTAAAGTAGATCCTCGCGAGAACTGCAGACATTTTCGCTTTCAGAGAAAATGCAAGAGACCTTACGTGCTACTAGTACACATGTATTTCATTTTAGATGCATCTACTGAAGAAAGCCGTTTAGGACCGTTCAAATTGTATGGTGGCATATTTCTGCCCATACACACAGACTTATGTCAACATGCACAATAATTTTCTTGACATGTAAGTTACCAATCTTTTTAGAGGATCTACCTTTAATATTGACAAACTTACATGTATATTAGGCCTAGCGCCAGTATGATAACATGCAGCAAGATGCAACAAAATAATGTTTACATTCGTGAACATGCGAGATAATCATGTCACATGCAAGATAGTACGTTGCATGTCAGCATATATATATATCCTGCATGTTGTCGTAATCAACTCGAATTTTGGCATAATTATCTTGCATGTTGACATAAATAAGACGCATTCTACATGTACATAAGATTTTCTCAAATGTTAACATATTTAAGTCGCATGTGAACATATTTCGATTTGCTTCTTGCTTGCATGATGTCTATAATGGCATATTTCTGCCTTCCCACCTCAGATGATTAAGAGGTCTGCTCCTGATTTGTATTGTTTAATCAACTTTTGAACTTGGATATTTTTCGTTATTTTCATGTATTTCCTACCAACGCCATTATGTGACATTTTATTGGAGCAAGATGCTACAGAATTACATTGACATACGACTTACTAGTATTTATATGTTAATATGCGAGGCAATTATGTAGATGTGCACCTTCTTTACATGTGTATGTCAACATGCAACATAAATACGTTTTCATGACATGCTAGATAATTATGTTAAAGCTGAACACGACTCGTAAATAGACATACACCATTTTTCGATATCATTATCTACGATACATCAACACTAGGGTATACTCGTCGCATTCGTTACACTTGACTGCTTTATTGTCACGGGTATCGGCGTGGAATGGCTACCCGTGTTCGTGCTGATTATCTTTCATTACCTTTGTTTACATTTTATTGCAGTTACGTTTATCTGCGTTGTTTGTATACTACACTGACCTGCACAACTATAATTGAAAATTTCTTTGGTATCTTACTTTCCTGCATTAGACAAAGTACTAGTATAACGTTATTATTCTCGCTACCGATTGCTGTATAGCATACGTCCGTCTACACCGGTGTCGACTGATTACACTGAACGGTGACTAAGTCCTGGCCTTTATATAGGGGTCTGCAAAGTAGCGAGAATCGGGAGTAAAAATGGCAGACACATTCCTTTTACGAATCGTGTTCAGCTTTAATATGCGAGTTATTTTTGGCAACATACGAGATATGTATGTTAGCATGCCCTTTTTGTTTTGCATTTTGATATACTTAATTACTTGCATATTAAATCGTAAATTTATGTTGACATACTTAAGTCGCATGACTAAAGTTATGTCTAACATAAATAAGTGACATGCTGACATAAATAACTTGTAGCTAACATAAGTTGCATGTCAGCATGTTGCATCTTCCACGTATAATGTCAGATACTAGCTTTAGTAAGTAAATTTACCTATATTGAATTACATTCGCTTATAACATTTGTAACTTTCTTATAGACATAGCTATGTTGACATAATTTTCTTGCATGCAAATATAATTTTAATTTGTATGTAGGGGCAGAAATATGCCACCATAGATGTTATATACTAGCGTTAGTTAAGATAATGGTGGCATATTTCTGTCCCAACATGCAGGATAATTCATTATTACATGCAACATAATTATGTAGACAGGCGACCAGAGACTTTAAACGAGATTACTCATATTCATGCTTCATCAACGTGTTTGTCAATAACGTACCTTGTTTAAGAAAACGTTCATATACAGAGCATGCTCTTGTGTATCAAATCAACTGAGGAATACATTGTATCGATAAAAAAAACCTCGTATGCAAGTGATAAAGGTACATTGCTGCACAAGTAAGAAATTTTGACGATTGAAAGAATAAAGTCATCTCGTTCATCATAAAGCTCTGTTTAATAGACAATTTACATAGATTGTTTAATGATTTTTTTTTCAAGTAAAATATCCAAATATGAAACAGAATTGTCAGACTCTGTGGTATCTTTTATTTCAGGCTCACTTGGATTCATCGTATCAACATGACAATGAAAGCAGCCTTTGTTATATGAAAAGACGTCGTCGATATATCTAAATGTTGAGTTGTATGCCACAGCAAGTGTTTTCTTCTTTTAACGTTAAAGATTTTGAACAAACATTATTTTCTTGCAATTGCATGTAGACATAACTATCTTGTAGGTTGTTTATAGGGGACTGAAAGATATTGGTGCCACCATAGATAGAAGCTACGACCAAGATTAAAGATTCTATAACTTACTAACAAGTACTAAGTATCAAAATACTTTCCAAAAGGTCTTGTCGCAAGTAAAAATTTGAAAACCCTTTTTTCCTGTACAAAAGTTATGGTATAAGATAAAATTGTTCATTTATTCTAGATCAAGGTTATGAAGTCTAAAATAATACATGTAGTTTTATCTGAAATATTTTAATATACTATGCCAGTAAAATATGAAAGACCTAGATCTAATAAAAATTTCTTACTAATTAGTAGGTTGATCTTTAAAGTTAAGGCTTTGAGGTAAAAAAAAAACAACAACATATTTTCATATACAATGTACATTGTGTTATCACTGGTAATCCACATGCAAAATAATATTGTGTTATCACTGGTAATCCACATGCAAAATAATATGAACACCTTATATCTCCTCATATTAAAAAAGTATCACCGTTTTAAATGTTTGAAAAGTATGCCAAATTTTATGGTCAAGCTTTTCAGGGGTCAAAAATCCAAAGGTTTTTACAGGTAAGGCACACGTGAAATATTAAAGCCCGTCTTTTCTCATATTCAAAAATTATCACCGTTAAAATGTTTGAAAAGTAGGTCAAATTTTCGTCAAGCTTTTCAGGGGTCAAAAATGGAAAGGTTTGTTAAATGTAAGGTACACGTGAAATATTAAAGCCCTGTCTTTTCTCATATTCAAAAATTATCACCGTTAAAATGTTTGAAAAATAGGTCAAACTGCGGTCAAGCTTTTAAGGGGTCAAAAATGGTAAAGTTTGTTACAGGTACATGTAAGGTACACTTGAAATATTGAACCCCTGTTTTTTCTTATTCAAAAGATATGACCAAGGATAAAGATTTTTATCATACTGGTCAACAGGAGATGAGTCTGACTCGCTTTCGCGGAAGAAGGAGACAAACGGTCTTTAATCACGGAACAATACTTTTCAGCCATCAACTCAAGTTGGAATATGATTTTTTTTTTAGAAATACAGTTGAAGAGTTTGTTATACTTGTAACGCTCCTTGGTCTCATACATGCATACAAAGAAGACTTCTCTGTCAAAATAATATCAATGAGGATTGAATTCTAACCATTACAACGTTTAATTCCATTTTTAT